TCGATCTATTTCTCTTTCCCTTTCCTAATTTCGCCTTTTATGTACCTTATTGACTACTTTCTTTTTCTTTCAAGTTAATCAATTCCTTTAAATTTTTTACTGTGATATTTATTTCTCGACTTTTCTTTCTTCTTTTTAATTCGCTTCTGTTATTTGTCCAAATATTTTTACATTAATTCAATTTTTTTTTAAATCAGTTTTGTTTTTAACCAAGTTAAAACTAGTATAATATATTTTATATGTTATTATAGCTCTGATTTCATCTTCTTTGTCTTTAAATGCCATATTTTTACATACCTTAACCGTATGAGCTATAATATTACAATTTTCACACTTTCTTTTAAGGTATATACAGTATGTTTTTATATGTTCTTTTTCATTATCCATGTTTCATGGTGCACATTTTAATTTGTCGAGATGTTTTTTTTATGATATTACTGTTTTCTAATTCAAATACCGAAAACACGGTCTACATAAATATTACATTATTTGGTCTATCATAGCTAATTATTTTCATATACTTTTCTTGTTATATTGTAGGAAGCAGATCAATAAATCATTCAAATGAATGCTGTTAGCTTCTTCAAAAGTTAATCGACTATTAGAATATATCGTACGATCCATATAAATGAATCCATGTCTTTCTTAAATACTAAATCATGTTTAGAATTTCATAACTTTCTTATTTACTCGATTCTTTTATACTAATCATTGAATAACTTCCTAGCTAACTTGATTTTTAATTTTAGCATAATTTCTTTAGTTTTATATATAGATAATTGAGTCACTTTCAATGAATTAATTAATGAAAACAATGATTATAAAAGCATACTTGTTTCAATCCTAGTTAATTTATTCATTATTATCTTACTTTTGAAAATTATGAACCATCGAATGTAATCTTCTTCAGATGCTTCATCCAGTTCTGGTAATTTATCTGGTATTTTTAATTTGTATTTTTTTTATATTTCATTTGTATTGAACATTTATGATTTTTTAAATTCCATTATGTTTTCAAATATCTGTAGTCCATGTCTTGTTATGTCTTTCTTCGTTTTGAGCTTACTAATCCGTTATAGATTATGGTTGAGATAGTATCAATATTCCTACTGTTTTTACCAATTGATTTATTAATTGTCTATTCAATGACTTTTCTAGAGTATTGAACAAACATATTTATAAAAAGAAAGAAGAATAAGCTCTGTTAATTTAATTTTAATTTAATTAAAATTTATATATAAAATCTTTATTTTTATGAATCAACATCAAATGCTACTTAATTTTTTTCAAGTTAATTTATACAACACTACAAAATATAATTTCCTTATTACATTTTAACAAAAATAAAAAAATTAACATTTTTTTTTTGATTCATTTTTTTTTAACAGTAATAAAAAAAAAAATAGCATCATAACCTATTTTTTTTTTGAATAAGAGGTTTAAAAAAAAATATATATATATATGATATTTTTATTAAGTTGTAGATACACACATAAGAAAAAAATTATTATTATTTATTTTTTTTTTAGTGTACTCACTTTTATTAAAAGCATATATATTTTTTTTTTAGTGTATATATTTTTTGAATAGCTATTTTATTGTACTCGTTTATAATTGAATATTATCCCTGGGACTTAGTATGCATAAAATGAAGTATTTTTGTTTTGTTTATTTTTTAAAATATTATAAAAAAGAGGTATATAATATTATTTATAGATAAGTTATTGAGCTTCAATGATTATTTTTACTTTATCTAATGAAGTTTTAATTATTTTGATGTCTATTATTTGTTCTATGTAATAGATATTTTAAAGGATATGCACATCTATACATTTAATACTATATAGCTATTGATAAGAATTTTACTTATTTATCTTAATAATTTAAAATGTCATATTATTTTTTTCGTTAAAATGATATTATCAACAGCACATACCACTACATATTTTTCTTGAATTTAGTCCTTAAAAATATTTTCCATTATTTTTTGAAATCGTGAAGAACTCATTTTTAATCCAAATGGAAATATATTAAATACAAAATATACATAAATGGGTAATATAAAACCTGTATGTTTTTTACTATTTTCCTTTCATGAAATATTATAAAATTTTTTCTTAAGGTTTATCTTCAAGAACCATTTGATACCTAGTAAATAAAAGATATTAATTGCCCTTTTGAATTTCTAATACAACAAAATGATTACATGTAGGAGTTTTAGTCTATAAATAGTGCTATTACCTATTCTCAATAATATTTAAATAAATAAAATAAATAAAAACATTTTTATTTCTGCATGTTAAAATGTGCGGAAAATGTGCACACATATACCTGTGCAAAAAAAAAAAAAAAAGAAAAATACATGCAGTAAAATACATTAAAAAAAAATAACTGTACTATAAGTAAATACACTAAGAAAAATGTAGATATTTTTTATTTCTTTTATTGTAAAAATGACTTAAAATTATTAATGTTTTTTTGATAATGATTTTGTTATTATTATTATTTTTTTTTTTTTTTTTGAGAAAGATAATGTGGACTATTTTCTTTTTATGAAAAATTAAAAATGTGAGGCAATTATGATATACATGGGATATTATGTAAACTAACAGAATAGTAATTGGTTAATAGAATTAATATTTAATATTAATTAATAATAGTGATTATTTTTCTTAGTATTTTAATTTAATAAAAATGAAAAGAGTTTTTCCTAGGTTCTCTTTATAAATTTGTTTTTTTAATACTATCAAAATGGTTAAGAAGAGATATTATTAACCTTTTTAAGAATAAAAATAACTAGTTATATAAAAAATAAATAGTTATCTATGCGAGAGCTAGATAAAAAAAGGAAAAAAAATTAGAAGACCATTTTTTTTTTTTTCTTTTTATAAATTAAATATATAAAAAAGTTATTTATTTTTTTTTGGAGAAAAAAAGAGATGGAAGGATGAAAAAAGTTTGTTGAAAAATATAAAAAGTAACTTACAAAATAAAGAGTTTTCTTTTGTAATGAATTTTTATTTTGAATTTTTAAGAGAGGATTTTATAATAACTATAACAAAATTTTCATATTTGTAATGTTTGCATAATTCAATATGTATTTTATCAACTACTTATGTTTGTTAATATAAAAGTAGACGACTTGAGTTTCTAAATATTGTTCATAACATAGTAAGTAGAAATATATTTAATTAGGATTAATGTTCAGGTAGAATTTAAATTGTTAATTAAAATAAGGATTTTTATTAAAGTAAATAAATGCCTCTTAAAAAAACAATAAGTGTTCAATGAAATAGATAATATATAAAATCAGTTTATTGGCTTATAGCATTAATATAATACATAAATTAATTAAATTAGTAGAGAAAACTCTACATACTCTTTATTAATTTGTTTCTTCAATACTTATGACAAAGTCATTGAAGAGGCAGATAATAAATGACATAACTATTGAATAAGCAATTAATAAAGCACTAATTTAGTAAACGTTTCTTCTTATTTTCATTAAAACATAAATATCTTTTATAAAATCCTTTCATTATTTGTAAAATAATTATTTATATAAAATAATAGTTTTTAGTTAAAATTGTTAATATCCTTTTTAAAGATTCATCCATTTTAAAGCAAAAATTCTTTTTATTATTTCTGAATGAAAAAAATAATAATCCATTTTTTTTTAGATGAAGAATTAATTTTTATAAAGTAGTTGAGAATTTTTGAAAAATATTATAATTTTCATGAAAAATAATTGTTTTAGAATCATTATATATATATTTAATCAAAATTTTATAATTATACTATATATTTAAGATTTACTGAATATAAGTAGTCTTTTTATTAATTTTTTTAAAAATTTTGTAAATTAATTAGATAGATATAATTTATTTAAAGAATTATAAAGTTATATAATTTAATTATTCATACGGTGTAATTCAATACATAGTGTTTTCTTATTTATAGGAAAAATATGTGATAATAAACATAATTAATGGACACTATTCTGCATGTTCTTTATTAATTTGTGTGTTAAATAATTTATAGAAGTTTGTTAGTAGGAAATTAATAAATCATATACAAAATGAAATGTTCCATATCTTCGAAAATTAAAAATAGATAAAAATCGAAACTTTCTAAATTTTAGGTTAAAACATATTCAAATTGAATTGATTTTAATTTGCAACCGTTTTGAAGTTAAGAATAAATATTTTTTTATATATAATTCATTTGTATGTGATTACTAATAATTTTTTTTTTTGCAAAAAAAGATAAATGAAAAAATAGAAAGAATAAAAATATTTTGTGATAATATTTTTATTTATTTTATTCATGTAAGCTTATGAAAATTCTTATTATGTAATATATTAATATTAAATACAAAAAAATTATTTTTTTAATTTACAATAAGAGTATTAATAACTTTAACAAATGTTACCGATATTATTTTATATTATCTTTTTTAATTTTTTTTCTTTATATTTTAGAATGTCTTTGAACAACTGAAGAATAAATAAACAAGTTAATTTTCCAGTTAACTTGCATAAAATACTTGATATATTATATATTAGTACTATATATTAAATATTACAAATTTTTGATAGTTAAACATTTGAACAGCATATATTCTCTTTTTACTATTATAGAAATAATTGCTTTAAAAAACATAATATATGTTATTTTACGTACGTTTTACGAAATTAGTCATACTATGCTTTAAAAAGGTGTTAAACATAGAAAATAACAAATCAATAATATAGTAAATTTTTATTTCTTAAAAGAAACTAGACTTTTTTTTTTCACATTTACACTTTTTTATATATATCAAAAAATAAAAATAAGTAGCTAGCAAAAAAAAAATTTTTTTCTTAGCATTAATATAATAATAATAGAAAAACATTATATATTAAACCAAAATAAATTTATTTACGTTAATTTAATATTACATTGTTTCTCTGTTATTTAGTTACGCATATTAGAATTTCTCTTCCGTTAAGATTTTGCCATTATATTACTTGATCTGAGGGTATATCTTCATCTATATAGGGAAAATTCTTGTCGTAACCGAATGCACGAAGAAATCTATGTAATCTACTTCTCTTTACATTTTCCGTTTTTTCTACTTTTAATAATTTAGGAGAATTTATTCTTTCCATAGGCATTTCATTTAATCTTTTTTTTCCTTTTTTTTTTTTTGGACTATCTCTTCCAAGAAATTTTCCAACAGGAGTATACTATATTGTAAATTAAAAAATTATTTTTAATGAAGGTAATTTTAATTTATATGAATGGTTTCAAAAGAAAAAAAATTTATATATATATTTTTGCATAAATAACTTTGTCTTACCTTATAAAGAAGAACAAAAAAAAAAACTCCCCCGAGAAGAGCAACAGAAACAGGAAGAGCAACAAAAGCTGGTCCACATAATAATCCTGTGCATGTTGCACTAGTTATGCCCCCACTATTATTTACAGGGGTTACTGAGACTGAATTAATCGTTAGCGCAGTCGTAGTATTTGTTTCATTTGTAGAAAGAACAGTAGATGACTCACTTATATTATTTATAAAAGGGGTAGTAGAATTAATATGAGAATCAGATGAAGTAGTAGGTGATAAACTGATTGTGGATGATAAATCAATTGTGGATGGCAAAGCAGTTGTAGGAGATACAGTTGATTCAGGTGATGAAGTAGATATGGGCAATGTAGTTATGTTAGTTGATTCAGTAGGTGTGGGTAATGAAGTGGAGGTAGATTGTATAATAGATGATAAAGCATATGTAGATGATGATCCATTATTATTTGTTATTATATTTGCTGGATATAATATGCTATCTACATATGATTCTATTGCGGAATTTACTAGAACTTCATCTGTAAGCCTTCTCCATGAAGTCAAGGTATCATTTAAAAAACTCTTTGTATCAGGATCTGGTACTAAATTTAATGCTCTCGTAATAATCCCACCTTTATTATGCATCCATTGTGAAAATTTCCTAACATTGGTAACTGTAAAATTATTAGTTAATTGATCTAGTTCATCAAATAAACCATCTTGAATACTATCTAACCAACTTTTCAAACTACTTTTAATTTCACTGGTTGATCTTACATTTCTAATTCTTCTTATTTGTTGCTCTTCTGCTAGAATTCTTTCACTTCTGAGACTCAATTCTTTTTTTAGGTTATTTTTTCCAATTTCAAAACTATAAAGTGGGAATTATATTAAAAAATTAAAATTATAAAAATTATTTTTTATGGAATAATGCAGGTTTTCAAAAATGTAAGATATAAATATATTTACTATGATGAATATTACTTTATACTGTAAAAATATTGGAATATGCAAACTAAAAAATAAATGTAGATAGTCATCATTGGGAAATGAAATATTTTTATTTTTATTATTTTTGAATGCTCCATAATCTCTAAATTTAGTAAAATTTACAAGAAAATATCATTTAGTTTATATATATTTATACGATTAAAATTTACTGTATTATTTCAAGTAATTCTAATGATATGCTGTAAAAATATATATTTTATTATTATTAAACAAAATATTTTAATATAAAATAATTTCTAATGCTATCGAATAGTTCTTAATACGTTTTTCAATGTAACATATAATTAAAAACAATAAAAATCTTATAGATCATACTTGTAATATTTTCAAATATACAAGATAAAATAGTTCTCAAATAATATGAAGAAAAAAGAAACAATGAAAAAGATAAAAAATTAAAATTATATTTTTTAATTATACTATTTTCGATTTAAAATATCTATACATGACAAATTAATATTTAACAAAAACAAATGATACATTAAATATAAATCATCAAATCATTCATATTGAATAATTAAATTAAAAATTAAAAATATTTAAAAATTTAAATTTATTAATCGATATTATTAATTTGTCAGTAAGTAATTTTAAAACATAAAATTTATCTATTCAATGAATAATTTTTTCTTAATATTTTAGATAAATAATTTATAGTATATATTGTACAATATTCCTATGCATGTAAAACAGAAGAAATATTTAAAATAATTATATCTAATGTTTAATTCATAATATATCCCATTATATATACTTTTAGTTTTTACAATATTTTCTAATGAATTAAATTAGAAACTAATTTTTCTAAAAAGAAAAATATTCTTCATGCTGTAAAAAAAAAAAAAAATGACAAAAATTACGATTATTTAAGCCGTTAATAAAAAAACAAAAATATATAATGGTATTAAATCAATAATAAAATTAGTTTATATATCTTATGGATACTATAGTTGTGAAAAAAGAAATACAAATAATATAAGTTCTTTAATGATTTCTAAGTTATTAAATGCATTTACTATATTTAATATACAATTAATTATGATTTTGTTATAATGTTAATTTGAAAAATTAGTAGCATGCTAATTAAGAGAATGTAAAAAAAATAATTTAAAATTAAGTTTTATTCATTTTACTGTATTAATACATTTAAAATCTAATGATACTTTTTATGAAAGTAAAAATTAAAAGAAAAAGAAAAGATAAATAAAAATAGATTCAATTTATAAATATACTATCTTAAATAATTAAAGAAAATTCAATAAAAAGGTATTTATGGTTGTATCTAATGAAAAAAATATATTTTGTAATAAAAAATAAAAAATTAGCAAAAATTTTACCTCATACATTACATAAAAATACTTAGAGATATCTATTGAACTTTAATAATGAAATAGAATATTTAAAAATTTATATGCATGCATTTCCATTATTACATATGGTTAATAATTTAATGAAAAAAAAAACAATAATTGCCTTTAAAATAATAAATAATATATATATAACAATTATGAAACAAGAAATGAACATGATAGCACATATCTTGCTTGTTGAGGTAATTGTACAGTTAACTGAAAAATGTATGTGAATAAAATTATATGTAATTAACTTCTATATTAATGCTAGTAAAAAGTATAAATATTTAAAAGAATTTTAAAATATAAAGTTTCTGCATTAAATATAACTATTATTAAAGTATATATAAAAAAAAAAAAAATAATAATGAAACAAAAATTTAAGATTTATTTTAAATCATTTAGAAAAAAAAGATATATTTATCCTATTATAAAAAAATATTAAATTTTAAGAGTTATAAGAAATTACGTCAATTAACAAATTATACCTAAATTCGTTCTGATGCTCACTATAAGTTGATTTATTAGTAAGGTGATCAACAGTTTCCTTTTAATAATGAGAAAACAAGTTAATACAGAGTATGTAGCACGATATATTAATTTTAAATGTTACAAAATTATATTGATGCTACAAATGTATATACCTTATATATATTGTTTAAATAATTATATATTTGTTTTTTCAAAGTTATTTATTTACTTTAATAAAAATTTATCATTATTAAAAACATAAATTTTTGCTAAAACTATTGATTGTATGTATAATAATTCATAAACAAAAACTAATAATTTTACATTGAAGCTACTAACAATATTCAAAAACACATAAAAATTATATAATAATTGAAACAATATACTTTTTAATTTTTTTTCAAAATTTAAATTGAATTATTTATTTAATTTAAAATTAAATTAACTAAATATAATTTTTTATCATTATTCAAAAAAAAAAAAAAATATAGCTATCTAGAACAAATTGAAAAGATAATTAAAAAAAATAATAATTTTTTTTTTTTTTTAATAACTGAAGAATTTGTATATCTAACTTTAAATTTTTTGTNACAAATGTATATACCTTATATATATTGTTTAAATAATTATATATTTGTTTTTTCAAAGTTATTTATTTACTTTAATAAAAATTTATCATTATTAAAAACATAAATTTTTGCTAAAACTATTGATTGTATGTATAATAATTCATAAACAAAAACTAATAATTTTACATTGAAGCTACTAACAATATTCAAAAACACATAAAAATTATATAATAATTGAAACAATATACTTTTTAATTTTTTTTCAAAATTTAAATTGAATTATTTATTTAATTTAAAATTAAATTAACTAAATATAATTTTTTATCATTATTCAAAAAAAAAAAAAAATATAGCTATCTAGAACAAATTGAAAAGATAATTAAAAAAAATAATAATTTTTTTTTTTTTTTAATAACTGAAGAATTTGTATATCTAACTTTAAATTTTTTGTATTAGTAGCTATTATTTCATAAAAGGATAATAATATATTTTATTAATAAAAATATAAAATTTTGAAGATTTAACACATAAAATTGTATATATAATAATGATGTTATTGGTGTATTAATAGAAATAATTTAACATATTACATTAAAATATTACAATGAATAACTTATTTTATTTAATATTTGTAGTATTATAATAATTAAAGTATAAATAAAAGTTCGGATATAACAATGAATCCAAAACACAATTTGATAAATTGTAGTTGAATATTCTATATATATATATTATTTTTTTAAAAACAAGATAAATATTAACAAAAATAATGAAAAAAAAAAAAGAAATATTGTATAAATACAATAGAATATAAATGAAATAATGCTGTATGTAAAAAGAAAAAAAAAAATAATTAATATTTATTAAATAAATAAGCATTAAACAAAAGAGTATTACTGAAATAAAATTTTAGTAAATTAACAAATATATTACGTTATTCACATTTCAATTTATTGATTTTCTGTCTACTTCTCTAGAATAATAAGCAGAAAAAATAATAAAGAGAATGTTTAATAATTTAATTAATGTAAAAATTATATTGACCACACATATAATTAAACTTTATATTTATATTTAATGTTGTTGCGTATTTATTGCATTAAGAAGGATTGATTCGCTTTAATAAAAATTACCTCATTTTTATTAAAAATATAAATAATCATTAATTATTGATTTCTAAGAAAAAATATTTAATAATAATTTTATGATTAAGTGTTTAGCAATTTATTTCCATTGGTTTTAAATTAGTAAAAATGCGTAAAAATTGATGACTAAATTTGCATAACTTATTTTTTGATAATAAAAATTTTATTCTCAAAAATGTAAAATTTTTTTAATAATACGTAATTTTTTTAAAAAAATAAATTAAACTAATAATAATAAGAAAAAATAATTTTTTTTTTTTTTTATACATATTTTTTTTATAGTTATATACATATAACAGAATCTTTAAATCTAGAAATAATTTTTCTATATTATCCTTTTTCCTTTCTAATATGTCATTGAAACTTTCTTATTCCACTATAGCTAGCATATTAGTTCACTGATTTATTAATTGTATATTTAATGATTTTGCTAGTGGTGAACAAACAAATTAATAAAAAGAAAGAAGAATAAGCTCTGCTTAATTTAATTTTAATTTAGTTAAAAATTTCCTAAAAAATCTTTATTTTTATTAATCAACACCAAATACTATTTAATTTTTTTTCAAGTTAATTTATACAACAATACAAAACATAATTTCCTTATTACATTTTAACAAAAGTTGAAAATATATACACTCCATATTTATTTTTACCTAAACCTTCTAAAAAAAAAAAAATAAACATTTTTTCTAGGATTCATTTTTTTTTAGTGTATATACTTTTTGTATATCTATTTTATTGTACTCGTTTATGATTGAATATTATCCAGGTGACTTAGTATATACAAAATGAAGTGTTTTTGTTTTATTTATTTTTCTAAATATTATAAAAGTGAGGTCTATAATATTATTTATAGACAAGCTATTAAGCTTCAATGATTATTCTTACTTTAGCTTATGAAGTTTTAATTATTTTGATATCTATTATTTGTTCAATGTATTTTATTGATACTTTAAAGAACTTGCACATTTATACATTTATTACTACGTAGCTATTTATAAGAATATTACATATTTATCTTAATAATTTAAAATGTCATATTATTTTTTTCGTTAAAATGATATTATCACAAGCACATACAATTATATATTTTTCTTGAATTTATCCCTCAAGAATATTTTCCATTATTTTTTGAAATCGTGAAGAACTCATTTTTAATCCAAATGGAAATATATTAAATACAAAATATACATAAATGGATAATATAAAACTTGTATGTTTTTTACTATTTTTTTTTCATGAAATATTATAAAATTTTTTTTTAAGATCTATCTTAAAGAACCATTTAATACCTAGTAAGTAAAAGATATTATTTGCCGTTTTGAATTTCTAATACAATAATAAGATTACATATAATAGTTTTCGTTTATGAATAGTGCTATCACTTATTTTCAATCATATTTAAATGAATAAAATAAATAAAAAAAATTTTATTTCTGCATGTTAAAATGTGCGGAAAATGTGCGGAAAATGTGCACACATATACCTGTGCAAAAAAAAAAAAAAAAAAAAATACATGCACTAAAAGTACGTCAAAAAAAATAACTGCACTGTAAGTTAATACACTGAAGAAAATGTATATATATTTTATTTTTTTTATTTTAATAATGACTTAAAATTATTAATTTTTTTTTTTGATAATGATTTTATTATTATTATTATTATTTTTTTTTTTTGATAATGATAATCTAGACTATTTTCTTTTTATGAAAGATTAAAAATAAAAGGTAACTATTATATACATGGGATATTGTGGGAATTAGCAGAAATAGTAATTAATTGAAGTAATTAATATTTAATATTAATTAATAAATGTGATTATTTTGCTTAGTATTTTAATTTAATGAAAATGAAATGAGTTTTTTCTATGTTCTACTTATTAATTTGTTTTTTTAATACTATCAAAATGGTTAATAAGAGAAATTATTAACTTTTTTGAGAATGAAAATGACTAGTTACATAAAAAATAAATAGTTATCTATGCGAAAGCTAGATAAAAAGAGGAAAAAAAATTAGATGACAATTTTTTTTTTTTTTCTTTTTATAAATTAAATATATAAAAAAGTTGTTTTTTTTTTTTTGGAAAAAAAAAGAGATAGAAGGATGAAAAAAGTCTGTTAAAAAATATAAAAAGTAACATACAGAATAAAGAGTTTTCTTATGTAGTTAATTTTTATTTTGAGTTTTTAAAAGAGAATTTTATAAAAACTATAACAAAATTTTCATATTTGTAATGTTTGCATAATTTAATATGTATTTTATCAATTACTTATGTTTGTTGATATAAAAGTAGACGACTTGAGTTTCTAAATATTGTTCATAACATAGTAAGTAGAAATATATTTAATTAGGAATCATGTTCAGTTAGAATTTAAATTGTTAATAAAAATGAGGATTTTTATTAAAGTAAATAAATACCTCTTAAAAAAACAATAAATGCTCAATAAGGTAGGTAATATATAAAAACAGTTTATTGGTTTATAGCATTAAAATTATACATAAATTCATTAAATTAGTAGAGGAAACTCTACACACTCTTTGTTAATTTGTGTCTTCAATACTTATAAGAAAGTCCTTGAGGAGGCAGTTAATAAATGAAAAAAACATTGAATAAGCAATTAATAAAGCACAAATTTAGTAAAAATTTCTCCTTATTTTCATTAAAACATAAATATCCTTTATAAAATCCTTTAAATTTTTTTAAAATATTTATTTTATATAAAATAATAATTTTTCGTTAAAATTATTAATATCCTTTTTAAAGATTCATCCAATTTAAAGAAAAAATTCTTTTTATTATTTCTAAATGAAAAAAATAATATTTATGAAAAATAATTAATTGTTTCAGTATCATTATCTATATATTTAATCAAAATTTTATATTTATACTAAATATTTGAGATTTACTGAAAATAAGTACGCTTTTTGTTAATTTTTTTAAATATCTTGTAAGTTAATTAGATAGATATACTTTATTTAAAGTATTATAAAATTATATAATTTAATTATTCATACGATGTAATTCAATTATATAGTGTTTTCTTATTTATAGGAAATATATGTGCGAATAGGCAAAATTAATGGACCCTATTCTGCATGTTCTTTATTGATTTGTGTGTTAAATAATTTATAGAAGTTTGTTAGTAGGCAGTTAATAAATCATATATAAAATGAAATTTTCCATATATTGGATGACTAAAAATAGATATAAATAGAAACTCTCAAAGTTTTAGAAGATAAAGACATATTCAAGTTGAATTGATTTTAATTTGCAATGGTTTTTAAATTAAGAATAAATATTTTTTTATATATAATTCATTTATATGTGATTACGAATAATTTTTTTTTTGCAAAAAAAGATAAATGAAACACTAGAAAGAATAAAAATATTTTGTGATAATATTTTTATTTATTTTATTCATGTATGCTTATGGAAATGCTTATTATGTAATATATAAATATGAAGTACTAAAAAATTATTTTTTTAATTTACAACAAGAGTATTAATAACATTAAAAAATGTAAAAGATATTATTTTACATTATCTTTTTTAATTTTTTCTCTTAATATTTTAGCGATGTCTTTGAACAATTGAAGAATAAATAAAAAAGTTAAATTACCAGTTAACTTGCATAAAATGCTTTATATGTTATATATTATTACTATGTATTAAATATTACAAATTTTTCATAGTTAAACATTTAAACATAATATATTCTCTTTTTACTATCATAGAAATAATTGCTTTAAAAAACATAATATATATTATTTTACGTACTTTTTACGAAATTAGTCATCCTATGCTTTATAAAAGTGTTTAACATAGAAAATAACAAATCAATAATGAAGTAAATTTTTATTTCTTAAAAGAAGCGATACATTTCTTTTTCAGACTTACACATTTTTAAATGTAACAAAAATTAAAAATAAGTAGCTAGCAAAAAAAAAAAATTTTCCTTAGCATTAATATAATAGTAATAGAAAAACATCATTTATTAAACCAAAATGAAATTTATTTATGTTAATTTAATATTATATTGTTTATCTGTTATTTAATTATTCATATTAGAATTTCTCCTTGGTTAAGATTTTCCCATTATATTACTTGATCTGAGGTTACATCTTCATCTATATAGGGAAATTTCTTGTTGTAACCAAATGCACGGAGAAAACTATCTAATCTGCTTCTCTTTACATTTTCCGTTTTTTTTGCTTTTAATAATTTAGGAGAATTTATTCTTTCCATAGGTATTTCATGCAATCTTTTTTTTCCTTTTTTTTTTTTTGGATTATCTCTTCCAAGAAATTTTCCAACAGGAGTATACTATATTGTAAATTAAAAAATTATTTTTAATAAATGTAATTTTAATTTATACAAATGGTTTGAAAAGAAAAAAAATTTATATATATATTTTTGTATAAATAACTTCGTCTCACCTTATAAAGAAGAACAAAAAATAAAACTCCCCCAAGAAGAGCAACAGAAACAGGAAGAGCAACAAAAGCTGGTGAACATAATAATCCTGTGCATGTTGTACTAGTTAAACCCCCACTATTATTTACAGGGATTACTGAGGCTGAATTAATCGTTAACGCAGCTGTACTATTTGTTTCATTTGTAGAATGAAGAGTAGGTAAATCACTTGTATCATTTGTAGAAGAGGTAGTAGTATGAATATGAGAATTAGATGAAGTTGTAGGTGATAAATCAAGTGTAGATGGAAAAGTAGTTGTAGGAGATACGGTTGATTCTGGTGATGAATTAAATATGGACAATGTAGTTAAGCTAGGTAATTGAGTAGGTGAAGAAAATGAAGTAGAGTTAGATGATGCGGCAGATACGGATGATAAAGTAGAGGTAGATGGTGAAGCAGATGATAATGCAGATGGAGATGATGAACCATTCAAATTTGTAAAATTACTTGGAAAATATCTATCGATATATGTATCTGATATTTGATTTAGTATAATATCATCTGTAAGTTTTCTCCATGATGTTAAGGTCTCATTTAAAAATTTCTTAGCTGTAGGATCTGGTATTCTATTTAATGCTCTCGTAATAATATTGCTTTTATGGTTCATCCATTGTGAAAAATTCCTAACATTGCTAACTGTAAAATTATTAGTTAATTTTTCTATTTCATCAAATAAACCTTCTTCAATAGTATCTAACCAAAATTTCAAATTGCTTTTAATATCCCTGGTTGATCTTACATTTCTACTTCTTGTTCCTTGTTGCTTTTCTGATAAAATTCTTCCACTTCTGAGACATAATTCTGTTTTTAAGTTATTCTTTCCAATTTCAAAACTATAGAGTTGGAATTATATTGAAAAATTAAAATTATAAAAATTATTTTTTATGGAATAATGCGAATTTTCAAAAATATAACATATAAATATATTTTTTATGATGAATATTACTTTATACTGTAAAAATATTGGAATATACAAACTAAAAAATAAATATAGATAGTCATCAATGGGAAACGAAATATTTTTATTTTTATTATTTTTGAATGTTCCATAATCTCTAAATTTAGTAAAATTTACAAAAAAATATCACTTGGTTTACATATATTTATACCATTAAAATTTTCTGTATTATTTCAAGTAATTCTAATAATATGTTGTAAAAATATATATTTTATTATTATTAAACAAAATTTTTGAATATAAAACAATTCCTAATATTATCGAATAGTTCTTTATACGTTTTTCAATGTAACATATAATTAAAAACAATAAAAATCTTATAGATTATACATGTAATTTTTTCAAATATAAAAAGTAAAGCATTTCCAAATAATGTGAAGAAAAATGAAACAATGAAAAAGATAAAAAATTATATTTATATTTTTTAATTACACTATTTTCGATTTAAAATATCTATACATGACAAATTAATATTTAACAAAAACAAATGATACATTAAATATAAATCATCAAATCATTCATATTGAATAATTAAATTAAAAATTAAAAATATTTAAAAATCTAAATTTACTAATCAATATCTATAACATGTAAGTAAATAATTTTAAAACACAAAATAATTTTTCTATTCAATGAATAATTTTTTTTTAATATTTTAGATAAATAATTAATTGTATATATCATATAAGATTCCTATGCATGTAAAACAAAAAAAAATATTTAAAATAGTTATACTAATGTTTAATTCACAAAACATCCCATTATATAAACTTTTAGTTTTAACCATGTTCTATAATGAATTAAATTAGAAACTAATTTTTTATAAAAAGAAAAATATACTTTATGTCGTAAAAAAAAAAAAAATATGATAAGAATTACAATTATTTAAATCGTTAATGAAAAAAAAAAAATAGATAATAGTATTAAATCATTAATAAAATTAGTTAATATATCTTATGGATGCTATAGTAATGAAAAAAGAAATACAAATAATATAAGTTCTTTAGAGATTTCTCGGTTATTGAATGTATTTACTATATTTAATATACAATTAATTATGATTTTGTTATAATGTTAATTTAAAAAATTAGTAGCATGCTAATTAAATGATCATTAAAAAAATCATTCTAAATTAAATTTTATTCATTTTACTGTATTAATGCATTTAAAATCGAATGATACTTTTTATGAAAGTAAAAATTAAAACAAAAAGAAAAGATAAATAAAAATAAATTCAATTTATAAAAATACTATCTCAAATAATTAAAGAAAATTCAATAAGAAGGTACTTATGATTGTATCTAATGAAAAAAATATATTTTGTAATAAAAAATAACAAATTAGTGAAAATTTTACCTCATCCATTACATAAAAATACTTAGAGATAACTACTGAACTTTAATAATGAAATAGAATATTTAAGAATTTATATGCATGCATTTCCCTTATTACATATTGTTAACAATTTAATAAAAAAAAAAGCAATAATTGCCTTTAAAATATTATTTTTTTCTTTTTTTTTTTTTTTTTCTTTTTTTTTATTATTTACACATAATTCCATATCATCAAATTCTCCTTTTTCTTTTTTTATATTCAATTTTTCATTTGAAGTATTACTTATTTGACTATCAATTTTTTTTGTATTTTCTTGTTTTAATTCATCAGATAATATACATTCTGATGAGGAAACATTATCCTTCTTTTTTCTTTCCTTTTTAATATTAAATTCTTCAATTTTTTTTTTTTTTTTTTTTACATTATATTCATTATAATTATTTAATGAAAGTAATAATGATATATCACTGGTTGCATCATTTATGTTGTTTTTCTCTTCATTGACACATTTTTCCTCAAGTCTTTCACTTTTATTTGAATTTTTTTTTTTTTTATTATTATCCTTTTCTTTTTCAAAATTCATTATACATTAAAAGAAAAAAAAAAAAATTAAATATTATGAAATTGTTTTGTATTCATAATTATGTTTTTTTCTTCTTTTTTCTTTATTCCTTTTTCTTTTTCTTTCTTTTTTTTTTTTTTTTTTTTTTTCATTTTACATTTTTTATGATTTATATTTTTTTAATATTATATCTAGAAGTTGTTCTTACAAGTAAAAATATTTAAAATATAAAAGTATCTTACATTTAACATAAATATTACATGATATTAAAATAATTTGAATATTTTTTGTATTGGAGATCTAAGAACATAAATTATCCAAATGATAGTTCATGAAGTATTAAAATGATTATAATTATTATAAATAAGATAATATTCCTAAGGAAAAGAAATTATTTATAGCTCTGATTTATTAATGGCTGTTAAATTACTTTTCTTGTGTCAAAGAAATAAATTAATAAGGAAAATGTAGTGTAAACTCTACTTAATTTTTATATATATTTTTTTTTATTATTAATAAACATTACATATGACTTATTAGTTAAATATTTTTTTTTTAATATAAGAAGCACTCTAAAATGTAATTTCCTTAATATTACATTTTAGCTTAAAATAACAATATACATTCTATAGTAGTCTGCACATTATCCTACAAAAAAAAAAAAGGAAAAACTAATTTCTTCTTTTAAGATTATATTTTTTTTTTTTTATAATAAAAAAAATATCATCATAATATATATTTTTTTTTAATTGTAAATATCCACACAAAAAAAATATTATTATTTATTTATTTTTTTTTAAGTGCACTGACATTAAGTGCAAGTAAATATATACATATATTTTTTGCTTACATACTTTTTGAATATCTATTTTAGAGCAGACATTTATGATAGCAGATTGTCCTTTTGAATTAGCATGCACAAAATAAAATGTTTTTATTCTATTTATTTGTGTAAATATTATACAAAAAACGTCAATAGTATTGTTTATAGAGCAATGTATAACTGGTTAATAAAAGGCTTCGTTAACCTTTTTGGTTATAAAAAGGACTATCTATGAGAAGAATACGTAGTTGGTTTTGCTAACTAAAAAAAAAAAAGATATTTATTATTTTTTTTAAATGATATATCTTGAAAGGAGTATATATTAAGAAAAGCTTATATTAAGGATTTCCTGAATTATCCTAGATTTTATGAAAATCCTGGTTTGAAGATTTTGTNTTCACTAATTTAATTAATTTAAATTTAATTTTAATTCTGCAAACTAGTAAAATTTATATATGTAACCTACTTCAATGAATAAACTTTAAACGAAGATTAAAGTTATTCCAATTTTTTTTTACTTTAATATTTAAATTTTTGTTACAAATTAGTGCATTATAATTTAGTTATATTTTTGAAGAAATATATATATATAAAAAAAAAAGAAAAGCTAAAATTAAAGTTAATAAGTAATGCACTTATTTTTTCATTATAACTATATTAATCTTTTTGTTTTTTTATTAAGCAATTTTTATTTGGTAATATATATATATGTACTTGACATTCTTTGAGATATTATTTTATTATTTTAGAATTTTTTACTATGAATACAAGAAAATTTAAATTCTTTCTGATTATTTTTTTTAAAATATTTCTTATAATGTTTTCAGAAAATAAAAATAACAATAGTTTATTAACAAAAGTTTCTTAGAAATAACATATCATTACATTGAAAAAAAAATGAATGAAAAGTGTGAGATGAATTTATGAAACTTGATTTTTCTGGATAAAAAACAATAAAAAAAAAAAAAAATAAAATTATCATTTTGTTAAATTTTTTTTTTTTTTTTTATATTTATATTTTTACAAGATAAATTACAATGAATGATTTACTAAGAAATTCTGTGAGCAAAGTAAATGTGTTTTATTTTTTTTTAGCATTTTATATGATTTTTATGGGAGTTGATTATTTTTTTCGCAGGAATATTATAGGTGAAACCTATTTTTTTATGAATATTTATGATTATATTTATAGTTTTTCATTATTAAAAATTTAATAATTATTTACCATTTTTTATAATTTTTTTATTTTTATTTATTTATATTATTAAGTTGACATTATGATTAAGAATGAATAAGTATATTAAAAAAAAAAGAGAAGATAACAGATTAATTATTTGAATATTATGGCATGGTATAAATTTTATAAAAATTTTATTGTTGAATTTTAGAAAATTCATTTGGAATATGCAAGTTGTGAGGAAAAGGGTGAAGGTTATGTTTATTGAGTAAAAATTTATTAAGTTTTTAGTTATTAGAAGTTTGTTGGTTTAAATTTTTTGTAACATTATTTGTTGAGTATGGATTAATTAAATTCTTGTTATCGGTATATATTTAGTGCTTATTTTTAAGATTATTTTAAAAAAAATATGACATCTTAAAAAAAAATATTTTTTTATCTTTTAAGGACAAAGATGAAGAGTATTTTGTTTTTTTTTAAGAAAGATTAAAAATGCAATGTAAAATGTGGTACGCATGGGATGTTATGTAAATTAATAACAATATTAATTAACTAACATATTTAATGTTTTATATTAATTAATAAAAAATGAATGATTTAATTTATATCCTAATTTAAAAAAATTAAAAATATGTAAAATTTTCCTTATATGATCTTTATTAATATGTTTGTTAGATACTAGCAATAACACTGAATGGTTAATTAATAAATAACTGACTTGAAAAAGAAATTTAAAAAAAAAAAAGCTGTAATCTTAAGGATAATCATATATTTTTTTTGTTGATGGTGTGAAGTATAATTTTTATATATGTAAGAATTAGAAATATTATGTTAATATTATATTTTATAGTGTGTTGTGTAAATTAACCCAGTAACTATTGTGATTCATATTTGACAATTAGAAAAACTAAATAATTTGTATGATAATTTATTTTAACCTAAATAAAACAAGTATAGTTTTCTCTATATGTTTTTTATTAATTTTTTTTTCTCAATACTAGAAATATGACTAATAAAAGACTTCATTTAAACTTTTAATAATTTATAGAAAGATAGAAATTCATTTTAGAGCAATGTAGTTACATACAGGATAATTAAAAAGTATATAAAGAGATATATATATGAGAACGCTTATAATCATTTTTGCTTGTATAGAAATAAAATACAAAATAGATTATGTTTAAAAGGATACCTTCATAGATGTAGTAGAATTTTATTTGTATAATATATGTTATATTAATAATTTACTCATACAAAAAAAACATTAAATATGCATTTTTATTTTTAAAAAAAAAAAGAATGTTTTATTTTTATTTATTTTTTTTTTAGGAGATGAGTAAATATCAAAATTTTTATATTTTATATAAAAAAATACTAAGAAGTATGCCAAATGGAGAGAATTTTATAATAAATATATTATGATTATTATGAATTGATACTTGTATAATTGGTATATAATTATATGCATAGGTTAATTTTATATTAAAAAGAATAAGTAGATATTATTTTACAAGCTCTATATTAATTTAACTATTTAAAGCACTACAAAAGTTATTATTTAACAAATTAATAATTCGTAATATCACTGAAAAGAAAATTAAAGAGTTATTACATTAATAAAAAAAAAAAAAAAAAAAAATATATTTCGTTTATTTTTTTATTTTTATATCTATTTAAAATTATAAAAAAAAATATTTTATTTTTTTATTTGGTTTTATATTCTGGAGACTTGGGAAATTTTAGCAAAAAATTAATGATAATAAGTTTATTTTTTAATAGAAAAAAATAGTATCATTTTAAAAATAAAAATAATAATTTTTTTTTTTTTTTTTTGGTGATGCAATGGATATTATTCTTTTTTGCATGAAAAATTAAATAACGTAATGTTAAACATTACATTTGTATTGTATAAATTAGCTTACACAAATAAATAATAGAGTTAAAATTTAATATTAGTTAATAAAAATAAATGATTTATCTAATGATTTATTTTATTCTAAATAAAATAACTATAATTATCTCTAAACTTTCTTTATTTAATTTATTTGTTCATCATAAGAAAATTGATTATACCAGCAATTAATAAATCAATATTCTAACAAAATTATTGAATGAGTAAATTAATGAATCAAATAATTAAACATATAGCAATGTTTGAGTTTATTTCATAACAAATATTCAAAAAGTTCAATAATTCTGTTTATCACTTCTAAATTTTTTTCTATTGTTTTACGAATTTTTCCAGTTTTTTCACGTTTATTTTTACCACCTATGCTCTATAAATTTTGCTTTTTTATTCATTATCTTCATTCTTTTAATAATAAATTACTGTTGTAAAACATTCTTTATTATTTTTTTCTATCCACCTCTTATGAATATCTTCACAGTGTTTTTTCCATATAATTTTTTGCCTTTCTAACATGGGATTTCTAATTTTGTCCTCATTCTTTTTTGCTATCATATCTTCATATACTTCCTTTATGTATTCCTTTTCTTTTCTTTTCATTTCCAATATTAACTCTATAAACCATTTTTTTTTTTTCCATTCATCTATTTTCTCTTTATCATTATTTAATAAAACATTACTACTTTTTTTTTTTATTTCCAATATGTTAAGATCCTCATCTAAATTTTCTTGTATTCTAAATTCTTCCACCATTTTTTTAAAAAAATATTCTTTTTCTTTTTGCAATTCTTCTTTCACACATTCTTCTAATAGCGTCATATGTATTTCTATCAAAATGTTCTGTATCAATTTCTCCCTTTTTTTTCTATTTTTCTCTATTTCTTCATCTGCTTCTTGTTTCAATTCCTCTATATTTTCATGAATTTTCTTCTCTTCTTTCGAATCCATTTTAGTTATTCCTTCTTCACGTTCTTCTTCTTTTTCGTATTCGTCTAATAAATTGTTAAACCAATCTTCCTCGCTATGTAGTATAAACCATTTTCTTTGTTTTTTTAGCCACTGTTTCCATATTCTTTTTTGTTTCTCTAGCATAGGATTTTTTCCTGCTTCTATTTCTACTATTTCTGATTCATTTGTTAATTCATCATATTTTTCTTGTTCTTTTTCCCATTCTTTTTTCAAATTAATAAACCATTCTTCTTTTTTCCATTTCTCTGACATTCTTTTGTTTCTTTTTACCCATTTATTCCATAAATGTTTTTGTTTCTCAATCATCAATATACTAATGTCTTCTTCCCCTTCTTTTATCATTGCTAAATCATTTTCTATTAGTTTTGGATATTTTTCTTTATCTTCTTCTATAAATTCTTCTAAACAGTTTTCTAAAAATTTTCCTCTATTCAATGACCATTCCTCTTTTCTACATTCTTCCAATATTACCATATATATTCCTATTAAAGTCTCCCATTTTAATTTTTTTTTGTTTATTTTAGAATTATTCATTTCACATGATTCCTCTAAATTATTCCTTTCATATTTTCTCATTTTTCCATCCTTCATTTTATTAATCTCTATTATTGATTCACCTCTTTCTATGGTTTTTTCATTTTCCTTTTCCTTTTCTATACTATTTTTATCAATTCTACTTTTATGTTCTTTCTCTTCTTTTTCATATTCATTAACTAACTTTGTAAACCATTCTTCATTGTTGTTATCTTTTATCCACTTTTTACAAATATTTTCGCAGTGTTTTTTCCATATATTGCTTTTTCTTTCTAAGACAACATCTATTACTCTTCCTTGATTCTGTTTTGATAAAATTTCTTCATTTATCTCCATTATATATTTTTCTTCTCTATTTTTCCATTCTAACATTAACTGAATAAACCATTTTTCTTTTTTCCATTTTTCTATTTCTTCTTTTTTTTTCTCTGATATAATATTCCAACTTCTTCCTCTTTCTATTTTATCTAATATCTTTGTTTCTTCGTCCAAATTTTTATATTTTTTTATCTCTTCAATGTTTGTTTTAAAAAATTCTTCTTCTTTTTCCCACTCTTCTTTCGTACATTCCTCTAATACCATCATATGAATATCTAACAAAATTCACCTTTCCAAATTTTTCTTTATTTCACTTTTATCTCTTCCATTATTTGTTTCTTTATTTATTTTTTCATCGTTTGTATTTTCATGCATTTCTTCTTTTTCATATTCTTCTAACAATTTTATAAACCAATTCTGATTTTTGTATTCGTATGAATGCTCTACTTGCCATTCTATCCATTTCTTCCATATTTTTTTTTTTTTATCTTGCATAAAATTATTTATTCCCATTTCTGTCATTTTTTCAATTTCTTGTTCATCTAAATATCCTAAATATTTTTCTTGTTCTTCCTCCCACTCTTTCTTCAAATTAATAAACCACTTTTCATTTTTATATTTCTCTAATATACTACTATTTTTATCTATTGTATCGGTATTATTTTCTTCTTTTATTTTAATTACAAAATTATTTCCCATTTCTTTTAAATTAGAATTTTCTCCATCTTTTTCAATCTCTTCTAAACAAATATTAAAAAATTCGGTTTTATTCAATTTCCATTCCTCTTTTTTACACTCTAGTAATGCAGTCATATGTATGTCTACCCATGAATTCCAATTACATACATCATTCTTGATTGACGTTTTATTTCCTAAATTTTTCATTTCATTATCACATGTAGGTTTTTCTTTTTGCAAATTTATTTCATTTTCTATTTCCTCATTTAATATATCATTCTTAATGTACCCTACAGCATGAACAGGATTTTCTTCTAATATATATTTAATTAATTCACCTTTAATTTCATTTCTGGATTCATCTACATTCAATTCAATTTTTTCAATTTCACTTTTAGGATTACCTTTATTTAATTTTTCTTCACTTATAAGTTCATTTTCATTCTTATTTGACCCTTCTGTAACATTACAAATGCGTTTATTTTCTTTTTTATTGTATATTCCTTTAAATTCTTTGGATTTTTCCCTCTGCTCATGTTTCGAATTTTTTTCACTTTCAAAACTAACCTCAGATGGTGGTATTTGTTTTTCATGCTGTAACAAAGAGTGATTTCCACGGTTCACTGGTCCATCCTCTATATTATTTGTAGATAATGGTATTGGTTTCTTTGAATTTTTTTTTATCTTTTTTCTTATTTTTTTTTTCCTTGACTTTCGATTACGAATCCAAGATCCAATAGGAGTGCACTATAATTAGAATTAAAAATAAGAAAATTATGAAAATTTTACTAATATAGTTATTAGTATTTTATATATATATGTTTTTGAATTTTTAATTATTAATTTTATCTTACTCTATATATTATAATTAAAAGTAGAACAATTCCTAAAATGAATATACCTATTGGAACGGTTGTTATTATAATTCCTGCAGGATTAATTGTAGGTGTAGGTCTAGTATTTTCATCTAATGGCGTTTGTGGGGTAGTACTCTTTGTAATATTCATATTTGTAGAGCAATTGCTCGAACAATTTGATAATATATGATTTTGAGCTGTGCTTAAAGGTAATTTATTTTGTTGAGCAATAGGAGTAAGTGTAATTTGTGAATTTTGAGTTGGGGGATAGCTTTTTCCAATTAATTGTGTATTATCATTTGTTGTAGCAGATTCAATTGTATTATTAGGAGATGCACTGATATCTGAATGTGTTAAAGATTCAAATAAGGTTGGAGATACAGTATCATTTTTGGGAAGCGCAGCTTTAATTAGAGGAGCATGTACCTCCACAGAAGATTTAGAAGGAGGTGCCTCAGACAATGATTCATTTACAACAGGTGGAGTACCATTAGAATTAATTTCAGTAACAGCTATAGGTTGTACACTGCTAGGAGTAGGAGATTTGGGCATATCTACAGAAGGAGATGCATGGTTATTTGTAGAATGTGTACCATTACGTAAAGAAGTATTATCGTTAGTTGTAGAATTAGTAGACCCAGCAATAGGGGATGCAGAAATTTCTGAGGAAGATGATTTGGTATTCGCAGAAAACATGGGTGCAGCAGACGGTACAGTCTCATGAGAAGGTAGAGTTTCAGGAGAAGGTGTAGTATTATTTTCAAAAGATTTAATGATAGTAGTAGGAAGTATAGATTTATCATCCTTAGAAGAAGGTGAAATTGTAGTTTCAGTTATAGACGAGTTATGTCCATTAGTGCTATTTGAAGTTGAAGAATTGGGTTGTGGTGGATCTCCTAGAGAAACAGTAGTTGCAGCTTTTGCAGTTTTTGCAGCTATTTCAAATTTATCTATATCACCCGGTGATGCTATAGCATTTATGGGATCATTTATAGAATCATTATAACCGCCAATAATAGATTTTGCATCATCATCTAATGAATTTACAATAGAACTATCATGTGGTGCATCTGAAGTTTCCACTGTAGGTTGTGCAGTATTTTGTAGTGAAGTTGTAGGATCTAAAGTTTCACCAGATTCATTATGGTCATCTGAAGGAATCCAAGATAAACCATATGGATCAGTTGAATTTTGTCGCTCTTTAATTTGATAAATTAGTGATGTCATATTACAATGATTTCCTGTATCACTTAATATACTATTTTGCAATCTAGTACTATAAGTATTCCAATTTTTAGTAGAATCATTTCTAAAAGATTCTTCGGAATAAGACTCATAGTACACCATATTTACAAATTGTTTTCCTCTCTTATGTATATACATACTCCACTTTCCACAATTAAGTTGACTTTTATTAGCTTCATATACTTTATAATAGTAATTAGATATATCACTCGTAATATTAGTAAACTTAGTAAGTCTATCATAAATAATTTTTCTTTTATTTTGTTCTTGATTACTATCATTGAGTTGATTATATTCTAATAATATTAACCCTGGTATATCACTATCTTTATAAGGACTCGTGCATTTATCATTTTTATTCAAAACAGCACAATAATCAAAATATTTCAAAGGACATGTTGAATTTGTTTTATCATTAATATGTGTCTCTAAAAAACTTTGTTTTTCGTTCCAGCAATCAACAAGACTTGAGATAGTATAATTTTTATCTTCATTTAATACTAAATTAACAAAGTCCATTCCTCTCCAATTTACATATGAGGATGACTTTTGACATTTTTCTGTAGTATCCTTAATTTTGTTGTCATTCAGATAAAAATTAAGTTCATTATTAGTATCTTCCATAAATGTTTTAATTTCTATATTGAGTTGACTTGTTTCACTAGAGGAATTATC